TCAGCAAACATCAAGAAAATAATCATTTGATGAATTAAGGGGGCCAAGAATCAAAAACTCTTTCAGTCTGTCAGTGAGAATCGATAACGGCTTATTCTTTCAGATCTCAGAGGCAGCCGCGTCAGACAGTTTCCGCAAAGCTCTCGACTCTGTCCCAGCGTTAGAACTTCGGCAGAAGATAACCTGAGTCTGGAGCAGAGTCCTTTCACTATCTTGCCCTAGTTTATTCTCAGCTTCGGCCGAGCGGTTGGGCAAATATAACTGAACTCAAAACTATTATTCGAGACTCGTAAATCCAACGATTCGTCCCAAAAAAGCCCATTTCAGCCGTCAAAACGTCCCTCGGAAAATTATATTGTACTTTGTCATGCGATCAAGTCTTTGATGCTGCTATTTATGTCATTTTGAAAAGCAGTTCTTCACTTGAATCAGTGAAGTCGTTCAACCTTCAACGGCCACGATATCAGCATATCAAGCGGACCAAGATATCGTGGTCGAACAAGCGAACTGTTTCTTTCCTTGCCTGAGACAATACGATCATGTTGCAAACGGAGCTATAACGCAGTGTAAAAGGTTTGGTGCCATAAAGCTGATTAACATTCTCATTCACGATCCTTAACAAGAGGATAGAGTCAAAAAATAAAATCTCTACAATCCAAGATTGAAATAAGAATTAATGCAAATAAACACGTACGTTTTTCAATGTATCCTGAAGAAAATCAGCTAAATGCTTCGTCGGATTGACGAGAGTTTCCTGAAACTTGACGTCATAGAACAGATTTGGACGAAAGCACGGATGTTTGAACACTGCGACTGGTTCTTTTAGTGATAGCTGTTTTTTGATATCTTCCATGACGGTTTTGGTCGCCGTCGCAGTCGCCGCAATCCACGGAACGTCACGGTACATATTGCGCAGTTTGCACAACTTCAGATATTCCGGGCGAAAGTCATGGCCCCACTGAGACACGCAGTGAGCCTCGTCGACCACGAAGTAGCCGAGTTTATGCCTACCGTTCAGCTTTTGCAAAATACTCTGGAACGTTTTGGTTTGTGCCTGTTCCGGGGTGACGTACAGCAATTTGATCGACGGCTGAGCAGAATGCAGATCAGCGAGGATTCTATCTCGTTCGGAATTGGTCAGTTTCGAATTAAGAGAATCGCAAGCTATTTTGTGAAGCCGCAGGTGGGTCAACTGATCTTGAATCAAGGCAATTAACGGCGAAAACACGACCGTGATTCCGCTGTACAGTGCTGCCGGTAATTGGTAACACAGCGATTTTCCGGAACCAGTGGGCATAGAAACAAATACGTCGCTTTCTCCTAAAAACAACACAGAAAGTAAAGTACGCCAAAAACAATTTATACACTTAAATGTTCATATCAAATCTTCTGTTATGATGAAGTACGTAGAGAAGTTGCACATCATTTTACAGAGTATTTTCTTACACATATTATAAATGACACAAACCTTACCTTTTCCGAAAATCTAAAATCATTGATACGATTAAGACTGAGCATGAACAAAACGGCTTTTCGAGCAATTTCGCGCTATGAGATTAAACTGTGCTATACAGTGCGTGAAGCACCTCTCGTAGTATTACCAGAAGCGTGGTGGTACAGTATCTCAGAAGTGGGCGTCCAACTCTGGAGGCGCCGGTACGATTCTGCTAGAGGACAATCTTAGTCTTAACTACAAATTGTCTTGGGCAAGGAATTTACTACATGCAATTTCACACTGGGCTTGCTCATTCGCTAGAGAGTCAGATTCACACCCGAGAGGTCTCAAATTACAGGTTCGAATCGTGGTCACCCACCTTTCTTCCTTTCGAGAATATCAAATGAGTTCCATTCTGTCGGGAGGAGACAAGAGAATACAGACTACGTTTCATACCTAGTCCTGTCAACGTTGCCTTTAAAAAAATGAGCCACTCCTGGAAAATTGCGTGGAGATAAACATCGGCGTCCCATCCTTAACTGCATAAAAACAATGAAGCCAAAATGGCCCAATCATGAAGGAAGAAGCCTGACATTTCATCGGTTACGTATGTTTCGTTTTCCGTAACATTAATTAAGCATTAGAAGAGAACACTGCTAATGAACGCTGTTCTTTGTTCCGATGGCTTGAAAAATTAAAGTCACGAGTTACGATCCTAGAAGATAAATACCGCAATGGATGTCCTTTCAACAGTTATGACGACCACCATCTCAAAACCCCAGTGCACGCCGATTGACGACAAAATGCGAATAATTGTGGAAGAGGTTGGCATAAGCTTTGTGACCAGTATCTAAACGCAATCGGTAGTGTGACAAGACTAAAAATCTACGGTTGCTTTTTCTTTATTTTTTTTTCATTAAGGATGTACCATTAACCTAAATTGAAGCTACTCCAGTATTTTCTATTCACAGGTGTCTGCCTCCATTGCATACCAAGCATTGTGACCACTGCGCCATCCCATCATGATCTTGAACGACCGAATCGACGTTAATGGTTCAATGGAACCAATTTTGTAATTCTTGACGTCCACTGCGGTGTCGAGGAAGGCAAAAATTACGCCCGCTACATCGGTTGTCGAATTCAGACGCTCAGAACATTATTCCGGTGGGATACTTTACACATTTTTCTCTCCATGCTCCTTGCGTGATTATCGGTTTGTTCCCATCAGCTTTAGTACCAAACCATCATTCACTGTCGTAGTTCATGGCCGGTAGCATGATTAAATCTAACAGTTTTTCCTTTACCCGCATCGGCAGCTCACTGTCGAGTAATGACGCTTTAATGCAATTAAAGCTGTCCCATGCATTTCTGGCTGATTTCTATGACTAGCAAATTCATGCGGTCAAAATGACAACCAAGAACAATGCGTAGCTCGTGACTTCTACAAGTTGTTCGCCATTCGCTTAGAGAGAACTCTCTGGGCAGTGTTCGTTTCACTCCATTTCGTCTTTGAGAGGTCAATCTCCAAACTGATTTTGAGAGATTCTTCTTAAAACTGCTGGATCTACTGCTGGAGCTCCATCGTGCTTGTGTGAAGACGGTGCACTCGTCTGCAAATAACAAATGCGTTAGCTGCTCTCCATTGATATCAATGCCACTGCACAAGCTTAACCTGTTGAAGAGTCACTGAAAGGCCACGGCGAAGAGCGCTAATGAGAAAATATGTTCTTGGCGCACTGCTCGACGGTTCGCTGAACAGCTTGATGTCAGCCGTGCAACCAGTGTTTAATTGCTCGATCAGGTATATCTACTCTTCGCTGATTACAATCAACAAGTTCAATTCGTTTCTCGACCACACCAATATGCATGGCGAGAAACTGATTCTACACAAGTGCCGACGATCAGCTCAGTGACTCGACAGAAACAGCTGGCCAAAGTAAATACCGAAGCAGCGTCTCCACAAAGTTATGGTCAAATGGCTGCAATCTGTCACTAACATGACTGCTTAAAACCAGACAAAACGATCACGACATAAAAGTACTGTCTGAACTTGGACGCTGTCCACTATCGTCTACCCTAACTACATCTGGCACTTATGAATCGAAATAGCATAACCCTATTCCACGATCATGCTCATCCTTATGTTCTGAAAGTCAATTCTGGAAACTGCACAAATTGGGATATGAAGCGCTCCCTCGACCACCCCATTCACCGGGCCTGCTTCCAGAGACCATTTAAACATCTCACCAGCACTGCTCTGGAAAAATCGTTAGCTAGCCATGATTGAAGGCACCTTCAAGCAAGAGACAAGTTCTAGAAATCAGCATATTTCTGTTACAGGAAACGTTGCTGACTGAAGGTAATAATATTACTTTTGTTTGTTGAGTTTCAGAGAGCTACAGCCCTTATCATCGGCATCGCTTTAGCAGAAATTATTTGGAAAGAAAATACGTCAACTGCCTATAATCTCATACAAATCAGTTTTATGCTAATGCACAAGCATTTGGTGAGTGAAATTACTTTCGAATAAACTAACTAGCTTGCAACTTACGTCTCAGTATGTATCGAATAGCATCTTCTTGAACTCGAAGTCGAAACGATGAAAACCCAAAATAGTGGTTGAGCTTCTGCAGAAGATCATCAGCCATTGACGCGCTCTGGTCCTACAATAACAATGCATCATATGAATAAAATTAAATAAAAACCACTAGTTTTTAGGCAGTTCAATCGTAACTTGATCGTCAAATATTATCGTGCGCTGTGCGAAATATAAAAGCGGACAGAATTAGCAGATACATCGGTACGAAATTCGTCACGCCACAGTCAGCCTTGCCAGCGGCTCGCATAAATTCATGCGCTAAAACAATAGAGTTGCGGCTCGGGCGATTCGTCGCCGAATAACGGCTAAGCCAACAGATCCAGCTGCTATATTACATATTATCACCTATGCTGAAAATCAAGACACTAATGATCTTGGTCAAGTCGATACTTCTAATAAACGAAATTTCTTTTCATTTCGTTGTATTACCGATCCAGTATGGACGCATAGTTAGTTCACAGAGCTCCATACGAATCTTCGTGAAGCACTCAGTACTTTTTATAAGAGAGAGTCACGAACTTCTTCGAGTGGGGGATATGTACGGGCTTCAATCCTTCGACTGCAGTTTGTATTTGG